TCCTCGCACGGATTGAGTTGGCGTTGTCTCAAGACAATGCTTTGACACCTGGCGAAATGAAATTGGACTGGAACATGGGCGGTGCGTCAAGCACAAGGGCATTACGTGATTCACCGCACAGAATTTAGATGCCACGCGGATGCAAACTCGTCTTGCTTGAGTCTTCCTCGTGAAGTCTTTGATGGGACAGATCCATCTGTCTTCGCCCAATGACATTTTCGTTGAATTCTTGTATTTGGCCACATCTCGATCATAGTTTCTAATGCTTGATGCCCTCAACCGCCGTTTAAAATTACCACCGCCTGCTGTCTTGCCGTCGGTCTGCGTGTGCGTGCGTGTGAGGAAGTGGTTGACAGTTGTTGAGACGGCATCTCGTCCTCCTTCAACACCGCATTCTCCCACTCTTTTTACAGCTGAGACCACAATATGCCTGTTGACTCGTCGGCGGTGGTGTTGTGACATCAATCACGGTGTTTGCATTCATCCGTGACCCCAGATCCTGATTGGGCATCAATATGATGCACAGGATAATTGGAAAAACCAGCTCATTTGTGCCACTCGTCATTGGTTGATTGGTCGTCTGACTGAACTCAACAAACAAGGAAGTAGCCTTTTTAGATGGCGCTTGAGTTGCAGATCGTAGCATGATGGGCCGAATGTCCTCACATGAACTAGATCGAGATTGTTCGAAGACACTACTCCAACGCTGGAACTCGAGGGGTGCGTCAAGCGACACGTAGATGGTACTTGGTTCTGAGTTCGTCTCATTTGAGCCAGTAAGCGGCGAACGCCCTACGATGGCTTTGCGAATTATTCCCGTTCCTACAAGTGTGGTAAATCACCTGGGGTTGTTCTTTCAAAGCCCTTTCACGAAGCAGAACAGAATGCAACGAAAATCAAATGGAGTTACGAATTTGGCTGAATGAATTTACAAATAAAATAATTCTTTCACCTCCTGTTTGCATAATTACCTCAGTCCACAGTTTCACTGGAACTCAAACAGGCCCTACTCTGGGCTAAAACGTGAGCATTTCAACGGAGCAGCCTGCCTGGCAAACGCTTTGTATTGATGGGGCGCCTTAGTCACTTTGTTTTAATATTGCCATGGTTACCAACGCTTGTGACTACTTGCATTGTTTTCCCCAATTCCTTTGCCTCTATTCACGTGAATATTGCGCTAACCGCTCATTGAATGTCTACAAAGACGTCGTGTGTGTGTGTGTGTGTGCGTGTGTCCGTTTTCTTTCACACCTTAATTATGGCTGACGATCACGTTCTGTCAGCTGATGCGGCAGTGTTTTATGCGACTCAGATACTACTTGTTTCAAGCGTAAGTAGCCTGTTTGTGAAAGTTAAAAAAACCAGACCTTTTTCTGATTGTTTATGGTAGAGTATTACAAGGCACCCCAGCTTCCAATAATTCGATATGTCCTAAATGTACACTGGGATTTTTGACAGGTGCAATTGATTAATCTGGGGTCCACGAATGAAGCAGTGCATCACCATTGGTTACTTTGAATTTCCGCGGTTTCGCGCGAATTTTAAGCCACAGAGCCACTCCTACGTACCACCACCCCCTCAGGACTGATCTGAGGAGGGTGTCACAGTTTCTATTAAGGAATAGCCTAAAAAATGCCGCTATTCGGTTACCGTAGAAACGAGTGAACAGGTACCAGAGTGGGATAATGCGCATAGGGTCATTTAACTGCTGCAATGAGTTGGCCACACAGTCAGAGAGGGAGATGTGGGCGTTGGCTACTGACTCAGCGTCTCCTGCGCTCACCTGTAGAGTTTGTACGCATTAACAAGCCCGATTTCCTGCATTACTAACACCCAAGTGCTCCTCATCCTCGATTTTAATTAGGAGGCTGTTTTTATCCCGGCGCGTAGATCGTAGATGGACTTACTCTTCAGTTCACAAGGCAAGCTTCCGCATAGCTAATGTTCCACAAGTTCGAGCTTACTTCTGTCCTTGGAATGTCCAACGGCAGAACCATAACTATGGTAGCACACTTTTAAGGCAACTGGTGTCAGATATGGACGAAATTCATGCATAGACGCCTCGCCCGACAGCTTCCAATTGGTTAAACAATGCATGACATTTCTGATCACCCCTTCATTAAATCTTACTTTTAGGAGTACAAACATGGTCACGTCAGTGGTCCATAGTGGTGGATTTTAAGCAGCATAGTGGTGGCGGTGTGGCAGCATTTCTACATTCTGGCATTTTTAATGGTCAGAAAATTTCAACTTTTAACGTGGTAATTGGACGTGTGTGTGGGTTTTGGGCACTGGGTGCTAAGGCGCCAGCCCGCCAGCTTCATCCAATTAGTCGACGAGAGTACACACACTGGACAAACTTACGCCCGATAATCAGTACATTAGCGGCCGTTTTTAGGTTGATACAACAGTCGTGATGACGTGTGGCTATTTTTTGACAAGTTACTCAAGATTGGTCAGTTTGGCAATTACATTTGACCTTGAAGTGACCAATAGTGTGACCCTATTCGAACCTTCAAAGAAGCAAAAGCGATGTGAGTATTCATCAAAGCCAATCCAGCCAATGCAGTGCGAGGGGTAGGCCGCGTTGATTGGCTGAAGAATACGAACGATTTTAGATTTTAGCACCAATCAATCGACAACACCTCCGAGCGGAGAGCAGTGATTGGCTTGAAACTGACGTCCCAATTCTGAACGTTGCACTCGATCATCTGCAGGTAGTCACCTGCAATACCACCGAACACGCTGCATTGTGTAATCGTTAGTGAGGTCAAGAATTGAGGAGGGAGCTACAGTCTGATGTAATGTGAATGTGGTGGCCAATTTGGTCCCAACAATAACAAAAGTGACAGATAATCTCCAAAATTTCATGAACAGGCACCAAGCCAAGGCAACAAGCGACAAAACTCGACATAGGCGCCAAAGGTGACCTTGAGGCTAGTAACAGTTTCTGTAGCAACGGGCAAGAGTATCCACTAAAAGCGTGATTCAATTATTACGATGTCCCATTACACGACGCTGACTGCCCGGTTAGTCATACAGGTTGTTACAGACACGTAATTATGCTGATAAGTCCATTCTAAACGTAGCCTAATTCCAGCCAGTGAGAGCATTGTGCACTCAGACCGTTGTCATGACAACGAGCGACTGAGATGGGTGTGTGAGTCAGCTGAGGCGAGGCGGACATGAGTAGACTACGGCGCTTTTGTCGACGTTGACGTTAAGGGGGCTGGGCGTTGACCGTGAGTCACGCCGCGGGCATCACGGTTTCCTACGCCTCCGGCGCAATTGCAAATACTAACCGCACCAGTCTACTTAAATATAACTAGTAGATAGAATTTTGTAAAGGTTGCAAAGGAAACGCGCAAAGAACCACGTACCGTAGGGGCTGTATTAGAAGCCGCAGCGCAAATAATCACAGACGTTAAAACTCATGGACAACAAATTGAGCATATAATAACAAAAGGGTTCCTCTTTGTGATAAAAAGTCAATTCAACAAGAGTAAAACAGGCTGGCAAATGTCACGACGAGGAGATTCTGTGCAAATTGAACGAGGAACTGTACAGAAGAGGTGGCAATTCAAAAATGGAGTGCAATGCAGAAAGGAATGTGGCAGAGGCGGTGGCTGTGCAGGGCGGAGGGCTTGGTGTTCACCTGCATTTCGGTATTCGATAGGCTGAAATGTGACAAAAAACGTCTACTTAAATAAAATCAATACAGCATTAGCGATTATTTACTACGCAACTCACGGCCAAAGGAGGGTGCATATACAGCGGGGGGAATTGAGCGTTTTCGGCTATCCCAGACAGTCCGGGAGCACAGCCAATGATGGTGCAGTCGCGCTGGAGGAAGTTGTTGAAATTAAAAGGCAATCGGTAGTGCCGATTGCTTGCCCGTTGTTATTTTGCATGGACGAGCCGCCTGTGTAGCGTTTCAGAGAACTCCGTCCTGGTGCATCTTCCTGTAACAAAGAAGTGGATGGGACTGTAAGGCGACAAAGCCGTTTTCTTTCCTCGCCCGAATCGCAATTGTAATGTAGACAAACCTTTTCACCAGAAGCCAAAGCGAATGCTCTGGAACAGTTGACGGGCAATGGCGAAGCCGCCTGTCGATCTAGGGAATGTTGCATTATTCGGTCCACAATGTCTTCCACTGACGGACGTTCTTGGTGTTCGACCTTGCAGCAGTCTACCGCTAATTCGAGGAACCAAGCAGGGCAATCCTGTGACACGGGGAGGCTGTCTCGATCAAGACCAAACTCCTACAAATGAACAAAATTACATGACTACTTATATCTTTGTAAGTAGGGTGTCTTATGGCGGCCGGTCAACTGACCGCGGTGCGCGGAATAGTGCTCCCGTTGTTCACCAGTCGGGTTATCAGTTCGCAGACGAGGAGGCCGAAGGCGAAGATATCTGCGGCGGGCGAGTAGGGAGCCACCTTGTGCAGGCACTCCGGCGCCGTGCAGTATGCGCTGCCAGCGATTTTGGTCGCGTCGACATTGCGTCTGTCACACGGAGAAAAAACACAAGGCCATTTACAACACCCTCGCTAGAAACGACATTTTGGTGAAACCTGGCGCCACAGGGGTCAATTTGTTACCCACGACGACCTTGAACCGTTAGGTGAATCCTGTTTCCCAAGATTGACTACAAAAAAAACTGCCTTTGGCGCCATGCCATGTCAGCAACCAATGGGGATCTCCCGCAATACCGACCAATAAAAGACGCGAAATTCCAACCAATCAGGAGCGACCACTTGCGCAGAACTGCCACGCGAGGTCAGCTACCCACGTGTACACAATTTATGCGATTCAGCATCCCAGAAGCGCACGTGATCAGGGGGAAAATTAAGCACACGCAGTCGTGAGTCACCAACCTCGCAGTCGTAAACATTGTTGTAGATTTGAGTAACTCTAATTGACAGTGATAATAGCTCCGATTTATGTGGGTCATGACAGGTTAGAGTGCTCATGGAATTGATGCTTGTTCTTGCACACGGGATTGATAACTCCGCAAGAGATTTCATTGGCTTAAGACTGACCGCACTGTTTGATTGGACGGTGAAGACGGCTTACTTTGGCTGTGCTCACGTGAGACTTTTTGATTCCGTGTGCCATTAAAAAGCAGGCATCACCAAGTCAGTATCAGTGTAGGGGGTAAGCGGCAACGCATGATCATTCCGACAAGTCAAGGAGCTAAATTTAACGGATAAATTAGTACAAAACGAGAGTTCAATCTCATAATTTAGGCGACTGGAGGTAGCCTTGATCGTTCGATGATTGGTCCGTTTTGGTGCGCGAATAATCGTGCTACATCATCAACCACGTTTTAATCGGAGGTGTGAGCTTGAATTCGCATTCATCATCACCAGAATGGCAGAAGGCTAAATACGGTGTGTAAGGATTCGATAGCTGGGACTCGAAGACGCTAGATCGCATCCTTCCGCTTGAAGCCAAACCCACACCTCAGTTGTGATTGTTCAACATGGACGACAGTCCGTTCGTGCCTCCTGGACCGCAGGAGCTAACCATCATCGTCGTGTTCGACTCAAACCACCAGCACAACGTGAGGGTGGTGGTGCGAGCCACGGTGGTGGAAGCCAACGACAACCCACCGCAGATCAAACTCCAGCCGCCTTCAGGACCCGGCGAGGTGTTGGACGGCACGACGGGTTTGCAGACCCTCGTGAACCTGCAGGCACCGTCGATCGACCTCGAGGACGAGGACGTCTGGTTCCACATGGACTCGAGGTCCGCCCCCAATGGAATCCTCGGCATCGACGTGACCAGCAGCACTGGTGTAAGTGGACTGCCGCACTCCGTCCACGCCACAGACACCCAGTCTTTTGTGACCAGCTTAGACGTCTACCTGTCTGTTTG